AGTAGTATTAAATATATAAGTTAGGTTTTTTCCTTACTCTATATAAGTAACTTCTAAAATATATAATATTTAGTATAGCTTAACTTATTTTATTTATAGGTATAAGAAAGAAAAAGGATTTTATATAAAGTTTCTATATAGTAGAGTATAAGAGAAATAAATTTTAAGCTTTAGTAATAATAATAGATAAAGTTTAAAAGTATATAAATAATTACTCTCTTATATCTATAAAGACTTATACTATTAAGTTAATATTTTTAAATAGAAGTAAAAGTTATAATTAAACTTTAGCTATATTATAACTAATACTCTTTTTAATCTAATTTACTACTCTACTATCTACTAATTAATATAGGCCGCTAGCCTTATATCGTGAAATTTAACTAGTATTAACTGCAAAAGCTAAACTGGTCCCCTCGCCCTCTACTAAGGACCTTTAGGTTATATAACTACTTAGACATCTTCTTCGCCTCTACGCTCCTCTAACTTTAACTATTATAATAAGCTAAGTTAACTATCTTCCTCTAGCTACTTCTATCTACTCTCCTCTACTATTTAGACGTCTACGCTATAAGCTCTACTAGGCGTAGGGGCCCTAAGGCCTCTATACTATCACGCTATTATAATATCTTCCGCCCTACTATATAGTCTTAATGTGGAGCCCTACTACTATTAGCTATACTCTTAATATATTCACCCTTCCTAACTTACTAATATTTAAGCCCTTAGGCTACTTTAGCTATCTTAAGGAAGTCTATAAGGTATTTATAGGTATTAGGATTATTATTAATAGCCTTAACTATCTTTATATTAACTTTAAAACTATATAACTTTAGTATATTATCCTTATTAGCTATCTTAAGTAGGTAATTTAGAGTGAATTTAAATAGAATCTTCTTATTAATATAGAGAAAGTTACTATATTTAGAGCCCTTAATTTTATTAACTTTAGTTTTATAAATTAAGTTATTAAATATAGCTTTAGCTAACCTATATATAGTTATAATAAATAAGAAAGATATTATAGTTACTATATATATAGGAGGATATAAGGAATAAGCTTAAGGCCTTATTTAAATAGTTAAGTTCTTACACTATAGCTATAAGAACCTTTTTAGCTATAGTAGTAAAGAGTTATACTATTAAGTTTATACCCTTAAGTATAGGTTTAAGCTATCGCTAAGCTCTAGTTATATTATAAATAACGCTCTTATAATTAGATAATAGTATTATAAATAACGCTCTTATTAGTACGTTTTACTACTTTATTACTTACCTACTTACCCTCTTCTATATAGCTAGAGATAAGTTAATCTAAGAGTTAATAACTAGTTATATAAAGATTTATTTATTTATTTTATTAAGATTAGGTATAGGTTAAAGTACTACTATTAGGTTTAAAGTATAGGGAAAAAAATATATAGAGTGAACTGCAATATCTACTTATATAGGTTAATTAGACTGCTAATATCTACTAATTAATATATATTTATATTATATATTTATATTATATATTTATATTATATATTTATATTATATATTTATATTATATATTTATATTATATATTTATATTATTATGAGGATTACTAAGTAAGGGTATTAGCGAGCGCTTAGTAAAACTTTAGCTAAGTAATACCTTAACTTTAATAGTGAAATCTCTGCTTCCTAAGAACTTAGAGGAAGTAAGCTATAGTTAGTATATTAAATTAACCCCTACTATAACTTCTAGACCTTTCCTAGTTAAAGCTCTTAGCCTATTATCTCACACTCTAACTTTAACTATTATAATAAGCGTTAACTATCTTCCTCTAGCTACCTCTATTTCTATTAGTCTCCTCTATCTCTTAAGTCTCCTCTACTATTTAGATATTTATATCTAAATGATATCTTCTACTCTACTATATAGTCTTAATATAAGAAGAGCCCTACTACTATTAGCTATACTCTTAATATTAGATTTACCTATTTTAACTTACTAAACCCTTAAGCTACTTTAGCTATCTTAAGTAGGTCTATAAAGTATTTATAGATATTAGAATTATTATTAATAACTTTAACTATCTCTATATTAGCTTTAAAACTATATAACTCTAATATCTTATACTTATTAACTATCTTAAATAAGTACTTCTAAGTAAATTTAAATAGAATCTTCTTATTAATATAGAGAAAGTTATTATATTTAGAACTTTTAATTTTATAAATTTTAGTTTTATAGATTAAATTATTTAATATAGTTTTATACTAAGATTTATTTACTTACTTTATTAAGATTAAGTATAGGTTAAAGTGCTACTATTAGGTTTAAAGTATATATGAAATAAAGTATAAAGTAAACTATAATACTTATTTATATAGGTTAATTAGACTACTAATATAATATTATGTACCTATACTTTCTACCTTATTATATACTATATAATATAACCTAAGTTTCCTTTATATAAAGGGGTTTTTTATAGTATATTACTTAGTATTAAGTATTAATATAAAGTATTAAGGCTGTAAACCTTTTAGTATAGAGTGAATAGAGAGAGAAGTACCCTTATACTATCTTATATATAGTTAGAAAAGAAATTTCTAAGTTACTTATATATTAATAAATAAGATATCTATAAATAGATTTATAAATAACCTCTTATAAATATAATTTAAATATTCTTATTTCCTTTTAAGTTTTATAGATACAATATATTTAGTCAAATTATATATATAAGGATTATAAATATAAATAAGTTTCTTTTATCTAATATAAAACTTTTAAATTATTTAAAACCCTAAAGAGTACTTTATAAGATTTAGAAAATTTATAATATTAAAAATTAAAAAGGACTAGCTATTAGATACTAAGAAATACTATATTTATCAGAACTTTATATTAATAAACTGAATATAGAGTATTAAGTTTATAGGTAGTATAAGAAAAATCTTTATTAGAGAATTAATAAGTATTAAAAAAGTTCTTTAAATCTTTAATAATAGAAGTTTAGTCTTTAAGAGTAATTTTAATATCTATTAAAAGTTTTTAAAGTTCTCTTAGATACTAAAAAGATTCTAATTAGAGATAATATATTAAACAAAATAGAATATAAAAAATAAATAATTTATAATAATTAATAATTCTTAGAGAGGGATAAAAAGAAATTAAGTTTTAAATAATTAATATAATAAAGGTTCTATTATAAGAGATAGATAGTAAAGTTTTAGTTATTTAAGAGATTTAAGAGACTTAATATATATTAAGAGAAGTATTTTTAATAATAAAAGGAGTAGAAATATAAAGAGACTTATAAGAACTTAATATTTCTAAAGTATAATACTAGAAGTTATAATTATAGAACTAGAATAAAGTTTTTTAATAATAAGTTTTAAATAAACTACTACTTTTTAAAATACTTTTTCTAAATAACTTATTAGATTAAAATATTAATAAGAAACTTATTATTAAGAAGAGGAACTGTAATATAATTAGTATATTAACTTATAAAAATCTATAGCAGTATATCTTATAATATACTCTTTACTTTATATAGCTCCCTTAGTAAGACTTATTAAGAGAGTAAGTTATATACCTAGTATAAATTTTATAAACTTATAATTTAAGGATACTTTAGAAGGTAACTTCCTCCTAAGTAATATATATTTTCTTATAGACTCTTTAATTTCTCTTAAGTATTAGTTCTTAGTAATTATAAACCTAGTTTATTAAATTTTTAACTTATTCCTTTATTACTACTAAAATATTTTATAAAATAAATAAATCTCTTTTTTCTCTTTTAATATTTATATATATATAACTTATTTAGAAAAAGTATTTTAAAAAGTAGTAGTTTATTTAAAACTTATTATTAAAAAACTTTATTCTAGTTCTATAATTATAACTTCTAGTATTATACTTTAGAAATATTAAGTTCTTATAAGTCTCTTTATATTTCTACTCCTTTTATTATTAAAAATACTTCTCTTAATATATATTAAGTCTCTTAAATCTCTTAAATAACTAAAACTTTACTATCTATCTCTTATAATAGAACCTTTATTATATTAATTATTTAAAACTTAATTTCTTTTTATCCCTCTCTAAGAATTATTAATNAGAGATTATAAATTAAATAAAAAATAGAACTTAAGATATAAGAGAGAATAGAAATAAAATCTCTTAAATTTTAATTACTTCTATATTAATATAAATATAATTTCTTCTTAAACTAAATAAATTAGTATTTATTATTCTTAAAAACTTCTTTATTTAGATTAAGTATATAATATTTATTAAATAATAAGGTATTAAAGTAATTAAAGTTTAAAATAATATAAAACTAAGGAATAACGTTTAAGTTTATAGTTATAACGTAGCCCCCCTATAAAAAGACTATAGTAAAGTTCACCTTATATATAGGTATAATTCTAGAAACACTATATAGGTACTTTAACTTATACCCTCTACTAGTTAAAGAAAATAATATAGAAACCTTATACGTTTCTATTAATAAGTAAACCTTCTAATAAAGTACTATAAACGCTACTATAAGAGAGATAACTCTTTAACTAAAGAGGTGTTATAATACCCTCAATCTAAGCTATAGCCTCACTACCTATTATATAATATATAGTATTATATAAGCTGCGCGTGTAGATATTAGCTTATAATATAAACTATCCTTCTGAATAGTTACTCCTATAATATACCTTTATTCCTAATAACCTATACGCCTATAACTTATAAGAGTTATAAGCTTAGCTCTATTAATAGCTTAAATTACCCCTTTATTATAAGTTATATATAGGAAACCTATTCCTATCCTTTTTATTAATTCCTTTATTATCCTTATCTATTATATCCTCTATTAATAATAAAATTCCCCTTATAGGAGATATTCTTATATTAAGAAGTAACTAGCTTATATAGTATACCTATTTAAAGTTTTATATATACTTAAGAGGCCTTTAAGACTATATTAACCTAAATATAAATAATTATATTAACCTTTTATAAATAACTATAACTCTAAAGATCTCTAAGTTCATTACTAAGTATTAAACCCTCTTAAATATAAAATACTAAGAGGAATATAATAAGTAGGTAAAATAATACCTAGAAGAAGCTAAATATCTAATAGAAGTTACTAAAAGTATATTAGAGAATATCTATCTAATTATAAAAACCTAGAGAAATAAAGAGGAAATAAGTATTATTCCTAATAGGTTAAGGGGATTATCCTCTCTCTTAAAATCTCTATAAATACCTTAAACTACTATTTATAAGGATATTAAGATAAAATATAATATAGTAATTAAGAATTATATAGTAACCTCTTTAGATTAGTAAACCCTCTTAATATATTACTTTAACCTTTAGATATAAGTTAATAAAATAGTTTTAAACCTTATTTTAATTAATACTAAATTAGTTATCTTAAATAATAAAACCTAGTTAGAAGTAACTTTATAAGTATTTATATATAAAATTAAGAAATAGTTTATACTTATTATACTTATAGTTATTAATATAGTTTATAAGAACTATCTTTATTTATTTAAGAAAGCTAATTTAAATATTAACCTCTCTACTTAATATATAGAGTAGTATTACTACTATATAGAAATAAAGAGACTTAATATCCTAAAGATCTAAAGAGAACTTATATTATAAACCTTTCTTAAAGTAATTAAATACTAATTTACTTTAGATTAAGCTTATATTAAGTTTATATAGTTTATTATAAATATTAGTTTAAGGTTTCTAATATATACTCTAAAGTAGTATAAGATTATCTTCTTAGCTCTAGCCTATAAATACTTACTTACTAAGAGGTTTTAGAGATTAAATATACTATTTACTACTTTAAGAGGGAGGTCTAATAACCCCTCTAATATATATCTTAATAGCTACTTATATAGAGAAGAGTATCTTTAGACCTCTAAAGCTTATAGATACCTAGAGTATACTTATAAAGGGTCCTATAAGTTCTACTAGATCTCTATAGATAA